AAAGTTGCCGTATCAATAAAATTGCCAGATCTGCAGGCAACTAAATAGACATCTTGATCTACGTGATTATCAAAGGCAATAAAATTGACATCTAATGATTTACATAATTGATCAACGGCAATAAAATGGACTTCATATTCTACCAATTAAATCTATCTAAAATTTTACCCGTCACAACGTATTTTTATTTTATTTTTATTTTATTTACCAAATTAGTTAGTTTATAATATAGTAAATAGTTAGCTATAACAAAAAAATTTTTGTATAAATAGATAGACTTTGCTTATGTTGTAAATTAACTCTCTTATGAATACGAGTTTAAAAATTAATAAAAGAATCATTCAAAACTTATATCTTTCTGCCTTTTCATGTCTTTATATAATATGATGTGATATGATCCCTATATATTATTTGTAATTAAGTTTATAATCTGAATTTTTTAATTAAAACTGTTCATAATCTTGTCTTTCAAGTCTTTATACTTAATAGATTTATTAAGTTTAATGTGTAAATTGGATAAAATTAAGAGTTAGACGGATCTTAACGTCTTAAATACAGTAAATTACAGTTAGTAACTTTGAGTAGAAACTTGATAATTTGGCCAATCTGAGTTGAAGAATTTCATGATGACAATAGAAATTACAGGAACTAAAATATTATATCTTATTAGATCAATATGAGAATGACTTCACATAAACTCAGAAAAGAAGACAAATTACTAGTACATGTGATAATACTAAAAGGAGTGATTGTATTTAGTATCAATAGAGTAACTATTTACTTATTATTTCTATATTGATAATAAATAAATAACATATGTCTAAAATAACTTCAGAAAAGATTACAAATGTAGGGTTCTTCATAATTGACAAAAGAATATGATAGGAAGAAGAATGCTTAGGTTAATAGATATAAGACTAAGACAAACATTTTTAGAAAAAAGAACAAATCATTTAGCAGACATTCTATAATCTAATTTAGTGAATTTGGGTAATTTTTACTAATATGTAATATATCTATATATGTTAATAATCTATTACATGATAATTTAGTAAATAGTAGAATAGTAGCATATAAGCAATTCAAAGAGGTGTATGAACTGGATATAGTTTAGCAGTAATCTAAAAATGAATAATAGGAATTCTGAGATAAACTATTAAGATTATAAGAAAAAAAAAGTATATTAAATGATTAGATCATTCTCACAATATGCTTTAAAGAAAATTTAAATAAGATTGAATATGTCAGTTTTCAAAATGCTATATCTTTACTAACCAAATAGATCAAAATAGATAAAATAAACAATAAGATGCTCAGGAGATTAAATAGATTAATAGCAAAAATATTTGTAGTATATAATGAAAAAAGATAAGTTAAGTATACCAGCTCAAAAATTTCAAAGAGGCTTAAAATACAAATATTTCTTGCAAAGAACAAATTATGCTAACTTCAAACTTATGAATTAATGCAGATTTGATGAATAGACCTATGAAAATTATAGAAGATATATTATTCGAAGGGTAGAGACCACTATCACTCCTAATAGCAATATTTATAAATTTTGAAAAATATAATAGACCTATCATAAAAATCAGAAAATAAGGATATAGTTCTAATAATACTTATCAAATAGTGTTAGAAAGACAAAATGGAATAACTTGTTTTAGAATTCAGATATCAGTTTATCTTGTATAGGCAATTATCATATACAAATACTAAGGGTTAATGTTAAAAAAGTTAAAATAGATATTAGAAATAAGAAGTTTGCAGCAGAATTTATGTTAATAATACTTTTATAAGCTTAGATTCTAAATGATATGTATCTTAAACAATTCAGCTTTGATAAACTTGAGCGTATAAAAAGCTGTAAATGACTTCAAAAAAGAAAGAAAAAAGAAATAAAGTTGCATTTAAAGATATAATAATATGATTTTTTAAATAAAAAATAGAAAAAAAACTGTATATTATTTTTAAAAAGTATATTTAATTATACAAAATTCAATTTTTTTTTATATGCATATGTCAAATAAGATTTTATATAAAAAAATTCTATATAGGACTTTTACAATAGAAAGAAAAAAACAGCCAGAAAAATTAATTTATTTTTATAAGTCAAAAATGATTTTTAGATCAAAATATGTTCAGATTTAGCAATAACTTATTTTTTATTTTTTTAGCTATTTTTCTCTTTTCAAAACTATTTATCAAATTTGCTAAAATAAGAAAATATTTAATTAATTTTTTAATTGATCAACATTTTAATTTAAAATAAAACATTTTTTATTTTATTTTTTTGAATTTAAATTTTCTTTCATTCTATTTAAATAGTCAAAATAAGAAAAATCAATAATCTATAATTTCAGCTAAAATTCAGTAATACTGATAAAAATTTTGATTAAAATTTAGTCAGCATTAAGAACTGTTTAAAAATCTGCCAAAATTGAATTAACCTATATTTAGTTAAATATGAGCACTTAAAATTAAATAAATATCAGCTAAAATTAAAACATATTATTTTATGGTTGATTGTCAAACTAATTTATTTTATAAAATTTTTAAATTTATTTTGATTTAGATATTATAAATTAAATTAAAAAAATCAAAATTGTAAAAATTCAATATATAAAAATAAATGAAAAGTTGTCAAACTTTTAGATTATAAAGTAACCTTTAAAATGCTTAATTACATCTGAAAATTGTCATTTTATTAAAACTGTTTATTACGTTTAATGAATGTGATATTTTCTACTAATCAGATTTATAGCTAAGTATTCTATAGCATTTTGACGACTTGAAATTTTATATTTTACCAGAACAAATTGATCAAAAATATAATGAACTGGTATAATACAGTTGTGACTCTTAGGAGGTAAAAGTTAGTATGTTATAATTTGACATTACAGGTCTATATTTTGTTATTAATACTAAAGTAATATCTTATTTTTACAAAATCTGCAAGATGATACCAACTAATATATGCAAGATAATATTTAGATTGATTCAATCTTGAAAAATTGATTATATGTGTAAAAAAATATTATATTTATCTAAGATAACAATTGACAATATTATTATGTATCAAAAATTTTGTCAATATATAGGAGCTTTTAATATATTATAAAAATATAACTGAACTAAGATCTCAGAAACAATTTGACATCTTTCAAAATGATTTATTTTGATTTAAATTATTATAGCATCTAGTAAACCTTCCCTAAATAGTTTGCAAAATTTCAGTAATTCATAAATTGCTATATAATATTCGACTATCAAGTCAAGCATTAAACTTGAAAGATTACATTTTTAGAAGAAAGTCTTAGCATTTCATCTAGAAATAGTTCATTCCCTATAATGACTGATTCTTGTATATTTATAGAATTAAACCAAAATCTATGCATTTTATAAGAAAACTCATTTATTTTTGAAAGAGACCCAATTGATGGCTAGTAATCTAATAATTCAAGACCTTTTATCTCTATATTAGAACTTAAAATATTACTAATTTTATTGTCAAAAATCATTTGACACATAATCTCAGTTTTAACTTGTCAATGACTATTTGAAAGAGAGTCTAAAGGAGAATTAAATTAATATTGGATATAAATTGATTACAAAAATTTAAAATTTTCAATTACCTAATACACTATTCATTCATTTGAATAAAAAGCACTAAAAGGAATAAAGAGAGTTAAAATCGTTTGAATATATATAGATGTGAAAGTTTAGTGTAATCTTATTTCTACCAAAATCTTTGATTATGAAGATATTATATTAAGATAACTGTATCGTATATTTTGGAAATAATTTTCCTAAGTAAAATAAGTGTAACTATGTATACTTTGACTATTTTAATACTAGTTAACTTAGTAGATATCACATTAATTATCACAATGAAGTTCTAATTATCACAATCAGAGACCCTTCTCTACTATAATATATTTCAATTAATTTTATGATCTCAATTAGCTTTTGATGAATGATGTAAATGAAGGATATGAATAGTTCTCAAATATTTTGGCAAAATGATTGTTATTTTCATCATTTAATAAAGTTTTATTACTTTTAGATGCTTCTGAATCTTTGAAAATAGTATTATCACTTGAATTATCACTTTAACTATCATTAGAATCATTGCTGAATCTACCAGTGATGGTTAGTCTAAGCTGATTGATATTTCTTACACACTTTTGATGTAAATTAGCATTGATATCCTCTTTGTAAATTTGTTGATTTTAAGCTCTGTTTTGACCTTTTCAATATCATGCCGATATTTATCATCTTGTTCGTCTATTATGATATATATTGATAAACTACCTGGTATTTCTTGAGTTAGAATTGGAGTATTTTCTATATCACTTAGAAATGGTATATCTTTCAAATTTTTAACAGAAGGAAGTTTCTGATATCTGTGTCTTAGTCTTGTTCATAGATTAATTAATACACTATTGCATAAGTCATTATTGCACGCTTCTTTTGATCTTTTTCTTGATTTAGGAGACATTTTTTAATGAAAAATCGATAAAAATTAATTTTTTTTTCTTATAATCAATTGTTAGTTTATTTATAATCACTTTAAAATTGAAGTTTAAATGATTTTTCACATAAGACTTAAAATTAATTAAATATTAGTTTATTCTTGTTTGATTTGATATACTATTTTTACATCATTTAAGATTGACTTGAGTCTATTTAAAAGTTTAATTTTTTTATATATAAAGCAGCTCTTTACCAACTTATAATCAGCCAACTTTTCTCTCCTTTCAATATTATTTCAAGCTCTTTTCAACTTATAATCAGTTAACTTTTTTTTGATATTATTTTACTAATATATACTTACTATGTTACGTCTTGATAAATAAAGTATACATAATAAAAAAACTGGCAAGTTCACGGAATCAAACCCCTGATGCCACTAATGATTCTCAAGTTTTTCATCGAAATGATCTTGCAAGTAACATTCTGCTCTATAATCGAAGTGGTTCCTCTGACAATACTACACAATGAAGTAATTCCTCTAGCAATACTTCATAACAAAGTGATTTCGCAAGTAATTTTCCGTTCTCTTGACGAATTTTATCAAGATTAGAGACACTTTTAAACCTCCAAGAAAGGGTACTTAATATTCAATTACCAAATACTAATTTTAAAATTGATGATGGTACGACAGTCAGACCTATGCTGGTAACACGCAGTAGTACTATAAGCTGCAATAATACTCCATGCATTGATCCAGAAGAAGGTATAATATCATATAATAATACGTTAATCTAAATTTCTTTGATTCTGTATAAAATTTAATCTTGATATTTATCCAGAAATTGACAGACTTAAAGATCAAGTTGAGCAATGGAAAAGTCAGGTCAGATTCTGGCAGAACTGACATGACAATTTTGTTAAGCAATTAAGGGAATTTCAGTCAAAATGGAACGCTTAAAGGAAGAAAACAAGGTATTAATCTATGTTAACAAGGAACTCAGAAGGATTAACGACGAATTAAGAAATGAAATTAACTAATACAAAAATAATCCTTCAGCAAATGATGATATCAATAACTTACCAGACGAATGTTCTCTCAGACTAAAAAAATTGAAGAGTAAGATGCCTGTTACCAAAATTCACGAAATAGCTATAGATAATGCGAGGGTTCGTAAATTCTGACTCTTATTATAATGGTCGATTTTAATTGTAACAATTTATTTTTGAATATAAATAGAATGAAATGAAGGAAATTTTAAAGATCTTATCACCAAAATTCAAAATGAAGTACGATAAGGTTTTTAATAGTCAAGAAAATAAACAAATTCAACAAAAGTTAGTTCCTGAACTCTTGAGGTCATTACGCCTATGATATATCCTTCATATGTCTAAATAAAAGATTGGCTTAAGCGTTACATAAACATAGAAGAAATAGTTATTTGTTAATCCAGAAAGGAGAACAGGATCGCACGAATAGACGTGTCTACAATAATAATCGGATAATAGAGGTACGAAATTTGTTTATACCTTGTAACATTCTAACATTTATCTAACATTTAACGTTATACTAATATCTAACATTCTAACTTTTATCGATGCTAACATCTAACTTTCTAACTTTTATCGATACTAACATTTATATAACATTCTAACATTATACTAACATTCTAACTTTTATCTAACATTCTAACATTTATTGACACTAACATTCAAAATGACATAACGTTCATTGTTAACATTATTCAGAAAAAGGATCGTTAAATAAGAGGTGCAAAATCCTTATTCAATACTAATGATCTACAAATCGTGAATTATAAGCGAGACGAAGTTATAAAAATATTCAAGAATTCGGCATATCACTCCTTGGAACTATCAGAGACAGACCAGGAAGATGATGAAAAATGACAGCTGGTCATGTACGATTTTTCTTGATGCTCCAATGAGGTTTGGTAATGATAATTTGTTGATGTATTTGCTTATAACGAACAACTAAAGTTTATTTTATAATTTTAGCTCAAGAAACTCTTAAGAGAAACTTTTGAAAGACAAGCACTTTCTCAACAATCGAATCAATTGTCAAGAGCTCAAATTTACGATAATGATTGATATACTAAAGAATAACCACCACCTGAAGACACGCTGAATTGTACTCGTAAACAAACTCTAGACAATTGAACTTCAACAGAGAAAGCAAAAGAAAAATCTGATAAAACCAAAGACAAGAAGAATAAAGCTAAAGAAAAAGCACCTGCCAGTAATCTTGAAATACCTGTCGGCGATTGTGAAGGAAATACAAACTGATTTCAAGTAACTACTGGAGACTATGATGTATTTACGCTCAATTATGTACTTGAAGAAGAACAACTTCACGGAGAAAAACTAACTACAAGCATGATTAGAGGAGCCATTCGGTCAAGTCAACAGCAATATTTCGATAACTTTCCCAATATTATACCGACAACGAATATGACGAAGAGAGTGACGCATAGGCGATTGATCATTTTTTGTTTGCCTATTTTTTTCGTTTTTCGTATCATTTTATTTTTTTTAGAATTTTTACTATTTTTAGAGTATATTTTATATAGAACGAACTTTCGAACGTTTTAAGTATATTTTTCGAACATTTTAATAAAAACATTTTGAACATTTTTGATATTTTTATTATATTTTCATAACAACGTTTTAACTTTTTAGTATATATATTTTATACATTTCGGATATTTTTAGTATATTTTATAACAAACATTTTGAATATTTGTAGTATAGTATGCATTTTAAATATATTTAGTATATATAGCAACATTTAGAACATTTTTAGTATATTTTTATAAAATAAACGACAATAAAACTTTGAATGATTTTTCACTGATATTTTGCTGGTATATTGCCGATATTTACTAACTGTTGCCCGAAAGTTAGCATAATCTCATTTGAATGTTAGATGGTTTTGTTCCGTTTATTATGCGAATTCTCTAAAAATAGCCGAAAGTTATACAACATAGTGCCAATCGACTATTTTAGTGCCAACTAAAAATCGGCCAGCTTTAGGCCAAAATTGGACCTAAAGCCGGCAGATCGATTTTTAGTCGAATGCAATATTCCGACTAGTGTTTATAAACTAGATAGGCCTGAGATGTAACTTAAAGAAAGCATTGTTTTATATTTCCTTTATGTTAATTATTAGATTTTAACAAATAAATCAAATAATAAAATTAAAAAATAATGCATTAATACTTTCTAAGTATTTGAAGCCCTAAGAAAAAAGAAAAAAATATTATCAATTTCTATGTTATAAAGCGAATCAACTGAAATAAAAAAAATAAATTTAATAAGAATTAAGAAAGTGTATATTGCATCCTGAAAAATAGAATAAAATAATAAATAATTTAAAATAAAATTAATGCTATCTTACGTGATACAACCTGAAAGAATTTGCCTAAAATTACTTAAAAGTCATCTAAAAAAAAAAAAAAATAGCTGGAAAAAGATTCGATTCGGATTTCGTGAAATGTACCAGTACCATTGATAACAATTAGGGATGCTAATGGTCACGGTCATAACCGGTCATAACCGTGACCGATATCGGTCGGTCAAAATCTTCTGACCGACCGGTTGACCGACCGATTCTGACCGATTTTGATCGACCGGTTGACCGAGTGACTTGACTGAACAACCATGTTTTAAATAGTAAAAACATTTTGTATTAAAATTAACAAATCAACATTTTATTTAAATTTTGAAATTTTGAAAAAAAAATTAAAGTCCGTTATAATGCTGTGACACTATATATAAAAATGACGTAGTTTTAAAAAAATGCCATGCTAGGCAAGAAATCAAAATTATAATATTTGGTTAAACTAAAACTTTCTATTAAGCCAAAACTGCTCAATTATATTACTATTAACCGGTCGGTCAACCGGTCAGTTAAAATCGGTCAGTTAACCGGTCGGTCGGTAAAAGGCCTTTGATCGACCGTTGACCGACCACGACCGACCGTTATCATCCCTAATAACAATGATAGAATTATAATATTAGCGGGATACACATGTTCAATTGCTCAACTTGAAATGTCAGGTTTGATTACACATATTCAGCAAAATGGTCTGTTATTATATGTAGTGGAGTTTCAAAAAAAAAAAGAGCACAGATATTTTTGATACAATCATTATATTTATATGTAGTTTGTTCCGAAACAAAAATCCCGAAAGACAGTTTCTGAAAACAACGTTAGACTTGCTTGCGTCTTTACATTAACCACGGAAAATTGACTTTTTTTATTTATATAGTTTAGATATTCAAATTCTAGGTCTATATATATGTGCGCACGTTATTTTTTAATTAGAAATCATTTTCAATAGTAAATGAGAAAAAGACTTTAATAAACAATTATATATGCGAATTCTTTTCAACAAAAATTTACAATAACATTCATTGACAAACTGATGATTCAAATTATCAAAAATGGTATAAAAGTTTCACATCATCTCACGCAATTTCACTATTAAACTATCAATCCTAATTTACATTATGTAAAAATTAACAAATTATAAGTTTTTCAGTAATTTCAATAAATTTATGTATCGATATAATGCTACTCGATATATTTTGAGTCTTCAATTATTTCTATATTACCATGTTCGATATTACCTCGATTCATCCTGACTGTGTTTCTTCGTATTTCTGAATTTAATTCATCAGCTAATTCAATATTTCCATGTTCAATATTACCTCGATTCATCCTGACTATGTTTCTTCGTATTTCTGAATTTAATCCATCAACTAATCCTATATTTGCACGATCATTTCTGGAACTATCACCAGCTCGATTCCTCCTTACTGTGTTTCTTCTTGATTCCAAATTCTGAAGATCATTTTTCTTGATAGAAATTATTTCTTCCAGTGCTTCATCAAGCTGGCTATTTAATTCTTTGTTAATTTCATGTAAATGACTTATTTCATTTTGCAGTTTATTCATTTCTGACAGACATTTCTCACGTAGCTGTTCAAATTTTTTTCTATGATGACTTATTACTGTTTGAGAATTCTCATGCAGATTTTCAGAATTCTCACGCAGATTTTTTATTTCCGTTTGAGAAATTTCAAGTTCATTTCGCAAACCAATTATTTTAGTTTGAGAATTTTCAATTTCATTTCGAAGATTTTTTATTTTTGTTTGAGAAATTTCAAGTTCATTTTGACAATCACGCTTTTCGTTTTTTAGTTTATGGTATTTATCCTTCCTAACAAACATATTTATCTTACTTATTTAATGTGGCTGATGCAGTTATAATGAAAATATTAATATTAAATTTAAAGGAATTAAAGATAGGCAAGGGCAATCTATTTGTCGTTAATAATAGGAATAGGTAGGTTCTTTGAGGTGTTTCAATAGTTTGTTAGATTTCCTACTTTATGCGAACACAATTGACCACTAAACCTTTATATGTTTTCGAAAATATCACCATTTCCTATAAAGTAATAGTATTCCGATAATTTTATTCCCCCGTCAAAGGTTAAATTTTCTTCCGATAAAGGTAGGTATCCGATTGGTTCTTTCGGAGCATCATAAAAAAGTATCGTCTAAATTTCATTCACTCATTTCCTTTTTTGTCACATACTAAATTTTGATCACCATTTTTCCATTTTCGCTTCATTATCCCTTAAAAAGCATGGAGATAAAAGGTTAGATTATTTTTTTTACAAAAAAAGGAATATACATCTCAAACGTCATTTGCGTTTCATGGATCTTCAACTGTGCCAGCGACGATTATTTTTTGCATTCATCGGTATATAAAAAAGAACGTTTATAGTTGAAATGTTGGAAAAATTTTTTTTTAAAAAATGGGTAAATGGCCATAGAATCGATATAAAATTCTCTATCATGTGATTTGAATACGTCATTAAAAATTTAGCGATAAAATATTGCGTAAAATAAAAAAGTTGACGCAAATTGTAAATTGTCATAATAATCAAACCATTGTATTTTTAAAAATTTAATAAATTTATAGTTTTTTGAGCTGTCATGGTTTTATTTAATAGAGTACATTAATGATTCTATACTGGACTGGATGAATATTAGCAAAAATTCTATTTCCATATTTACAGTAAATGATATTAAAATAAAATGTTAATATTGATTTAAAAAAACTTAAAATCCAACTCAAAAGAAATCGTCTAAAAAAGAAAAAATCAAATAAATCGAAAAACCTTTTTTTATGGAAAGCTGAAAAAAAATATAATATAAAATAATATTATATAAAAGAAAGAAAAATCTATCAAGTCGCTACAATCCGAAGTTATCGAAGGCCAAAACTAAAAAAAAAAAATTATCTAATAGTACTAAGCTGTTTTGATAAGGCTTTATTTCGCTATTATTTATTTTTCACATTTTTTTTCTTTTAGACGAGACGATTATGCGATTTCTTTTCGGGTTGGATCAGGTAAAGTTTTTTTTCTTTAATTTTAATTTTAATTTGTTTTTTTATGCATGTTGGATCGCTGTAGTCTACAGCAATTATTTGGTTTTTTTTATTCTTTCAATAGGAGGTATTATTATTAATTTTATTTTTAATTTTAATTTTTTTTTTACTTTTTCATTTGGGTCTCTTTAAACCGTTGTCTTATCTAGGTATTTGAATTGCTTCAGAAAGAATTAGTAAATCATTTTTTATTTTTTATAAATTTTATGTTTTGATTCATTTTTTTAATCTAAGGAATTGTATTACAAATATGCAGGGAAGTGAAACCTTTTAATTGTTGACAGCTTACATGTTGATTTATTAAATTTTGTATATAGTGAAATGAATTAAAATTCTAAATAAGAAAAAAATACATCTCAGGCTTATAATTAATCTCTTAAAAATTTACTCATAAAATGAAAGCTAATTTTTTTTTAATTAATTTAATATATTACAATCAAACGATTATAGTATCTTTCATGATCTGCCGGCACGTGAAAAAATTTTGTGGTCAAGCGTTATTAAGATTAATTAGGTCCACGATAAATGAATAAAGAACATCATTTTCAATAATAATAAACCTTCTACATCTAATGTTAAGCAAAATGGTTAAGGCTTGTCAGCATTCTTATCTCTAGGTCAATAAATGTTCGTATTTATTTTAATTTGATCTTTCTGTGGCCAAAATTTACATAAGCAATGAATTTATTTTTTAAAGTTTAAATTGTCAATCATAAAGTCAAGTATTGTCTTGTAATTATGGTCCATCAATACAGTTAGCTGGTGCGACTTGTTTATGATTTACAATTGAATAGTTGGCATGTTGATTATTTGATCATATGGAAATTTACAATTCAAATCCGGGTTCGAATTATTTTTTATCGTAAACGAACCTTTCTGAATAAGATTATCTCACATGTAATCAAATTTGTAATGCATTCAAATCTTTCCTCAAGACTTGCATTGTACAGTACCTACCTAAATATTGCTATGGTTAAGTTAAACTAGGGAACGGGACCGTTCTAGTCCGACATATAAAATGTAACACGATTGATTTAAATAAAATATTTCATAATTTTTATTGATTAAGATATAAAGATGTAATTTCTTTAATGTGCAGTATGAAAAGATAATAATACCAAATTTAAAATGATATCTGCAAATAATTTCAGACAGGGTTATTTATTTATGTAACGCAAAATTTGATTCGTCGATCAAGCGGACAGAACGACATTGCATTTGACTTCCGCTATTCTTAGGATAATTAATACAAACTAAACATGAAACCTAAAATATATTTACAGAAATATAAACGATTTTAGTTTTCTTATTTTTCTCAGATTCTCAAAAATATCATGACTCAATTATCAAATTCAAACTATTAGAATTAATTTTTTTTCTAAATCTATTTTATATTAATTTTTTTTTAGAGGTAGAAATATTATTCTTTTAAAACTAAATGTTATGGGTGTATGGATTAAATCTATAAGTTAATTTATATACAATAGGCTAAAATTTTATATTTATAAATCAAACAAAAAATGTATACATTTAATGTTTTTCTCGCTCTAACACTTCGATTGATTCATCTCAAGACTGTGGTTTTTTCTTCAACTCTGACACCATTGATTCCATGAAATTTTCCGGAAACAATAAATTCATACTTTTTTGGGTCTTTGAGTTGCTCCACGGAAGAAGAGATCCGGGGATGATCATGTAGGCATTCATTCCAAAGCCAAGGGGCCCTGCAGAGATTCAACGGTCAGAATGATGTAGGAAATATTTTTTCTAAAAAAAAAACATGACTGGACCTATATCTATTTACCTGTTTTGTATCATTTGATCAAATATTTCAGTCATGTCACCAAAATCGTAGTGCCAATATTTTTCAGAGCGATCTCCACGGAATTCACTGTGATAATTGGCATCCAAGTTTTCTTCTGAGCCGAGCCTAAGGAACCCATATATCCTTAAACTCGCAGTGACGATCAGTGTGGCAATATAGTTAACGGTGATTGACTGATCGCTAACTATGCTAGTTACCATGATCCTATTCAAACGAAATGAGTGTAAAGCTTTTGATTTCACTAAAGTGAAACCGAGAGAAAAGTTTAATATTTACCTTTTCCCTGCGGGAATAAAGATTTCACTTGTGTTGGACTCTGTCCTAGTGACGGTTTTGGTCCGCCCATGTTTATTAAATAACTCTTGCGAGAACCCAAATCGGAGTCCGATCGAAGTTTCCCACATTTCCTTAATCCCTTGTTTATAGGAGTCCGAGATCTCCTGGTCAAAGGAGAATTTCTTTGACGATTCCCACGTCAATTGCTCGGTAACAATGTAATCAACTTTCCGGGTGATCGTGAAACTGGTAAAAAAAAAATTGTTATTATTTATTAATTAACGAGGAACAGATTAATTAAGAGCCGATGCATACTCATCAGGATAAGGTCCATAAATCCTCGTGTTGATTTGGCGAGGGTTGATGTATTCAATAATTGGGTCGGACGGTACGAGGTTTTTGAACCCATGCTTAAAGTCATAGAGCATAAATGATGGTGGTCTATCATTCCAAAAACCGTCCGACTTCATGGTGCATACCCACTTATAACCAGTTGAAGCACGTTTGTACTGTCCGTTACCTGCAAAACGAAATTATAAATGCTATAATGGAAAAAATCACAATTAAATTAACATTTCGGCTTTTTCACTTCAAACTCCAATTAAATCAAAATCCTACCAGCCCATCCCCATCCTAAATCCGCGGCTAACTGATCGATAGGTGTAAGGGTAGAATTCATTATATTATTATATATGAATTCCATGTTTTTTCCGTCAAATGGCCTTGCACTAAGCAATCTAACAATATTCTCCTCCCAGGAGTCGGTTTCTTTTTTGCGTCTATTCCAGACGATGCTTGAAGCAGGACCTCTAGCTGCAAGGCCATAACTATCTTTGAAAGTCCTGAAATCCTCTTGGTATTCAGTAATAGTGACGTAGTCACCATTTTTGACTGCATCTCGAATGTGTTGAATTTTTTTGTCCCATAGCGTTGTACAAAAGTAATCAGAAGATTCCATATTAAAAATGTTCATATGATTTTGTTCCGTGTTGATGCTGTCAATGAGGGCTTTTCTTCGGCGTTTTATATAAGCTTCTGAAGATGATCTTTGACGACCTGGGATAGCTTTGGTTTTAGAGTCAAAGTCCGACGTGGCGTTTTTCTTTTCACTTTTTAGTAAAACTTTGGATATGAAATGATATACAGTAGCGGTCATAAGTATCCGACCGCCCGAGATCGTCCAAAATTATTATATAACTACCCCTTAAATTTTCC